TTTTTTTTGTGTGTTGTTGTTGTTGTTAAAAACGGTTGCCATGGTTTCGAGGGGACGCAGACAAAAGGCGCCTGGCCTGCCTAGAGCTGCAGTTACATTCAGGAGCTATAAAAGAAGTTAGGGTGTTATTTTGATGCTAAAACACTTAGAGTAGCTTCTCATCAGTCATTAATGTTACTCGCTTTCCATCACTTCTCTCAACTAGAGCTGCAACCAATATTATCAATAGTTTTCTTACATTTATCATTTAGTCTAGTGGTTACTGTCCTCTGCCAATGGTCAGCTTTTGAGCCACTTTCACCAGTTACAGATGTCTATAATTTATGACAGGCACATTATTTTGTGTTTGGTTCCTTATCTTGTGTAAATAAAATCCAGCTGCCTGATGAGGTCAGATTGTTCAGTAATACAGAAGTAAAATAGAGGAATGTCCTGCAACCCCTCAGATGGACTGAGTGATCAATTAATTATTTAATATTTCTCTACCTCACCCTGGTAATTCTTCTATTTTTTTATGTGGCTCACCTGAGATTCTCCGACAGGAAGTCCCAAAACTGAGGTGCCCTAATTATTCTTAGTCAGATGAATTCACAAGCCTGTCGCTTAATATTAATTTATTATTTAATTCAGATGGTGTCAAAGGAAACACTCTCTCAGTGCAGGGCTGTAATTCAGCCATTAAAACAACAAAAACTATGCAATGTCATCGTCTTAAGGTATCCAAAATCCCAGTTTATGTCCGTCTCATATGTCAATATTGATATTTTATCAGCGTTATCGCACAGCTCTGCAGTAACTCAATCGAATGGACTCAAGTGTGTTTCACCTCTTTTCAGAGCACTTTCACATGCAGGCTGAGAGTCTGGTCCAGCCTCTCATGCAGACTGTTGCTCACCAGCACTCCCGGGTACGAGTGTCTGTCATCGAAGCCACCGGGGCTGTCATTCAGCATGGCACTGGGAAAAACGTGGATGACGTGCTCTCTCACCTGGCACAGAGACTGTTTGACGACTCGCCACAGGTTCGGTTTAAAGCACCGTCCACCTCCCACTGATCGACCATTACATGTACTGCTTAATAAGTTATTCTAGGGTCTATGCTTGTCTTCAAAATCAAAGCAGGTTGTCTCTAGGTTGGAGAGTTTACCTTGAGTTAAAAACACTCAATTCTGCTTTCTCTGTCTGGTTTTGTTTTTGTTCCAGGTGAGAAAAGCTGTGACTGCAGTTGTTGGTGATTGGCTACTTCACTTGACAGACAGATACTCTTATTTCCACAAACTCATCCCACTCCTGCTGAGCAGCTTGAGTGATGAGATCCCAGAAATAAGGTAAAGGTCATATTTTACTCTTTGCTTCATAATACGATGTAACACATAATATATACTATATTCTCTAGGTTCATAAACTAATATTTAACACATATCTCACAGGGGAGTTCAATGTTAAAAGGAAGAATCACATAAATATCTCCAACGTATAAGTGAAATACAGTGCATTATATTCTAACAATAATAACATCTTTCTTCTGTAGACTTCTAGCAGCTGATTTATGGAAGCAGGTAGGCTCCCAGTGGGAAAAGGAGAATGAGGAAGACATCAAGGACAAGATGGACTTTCTCCTCACCCCACCTCCCTTCTACCCACCAGGAGGTCAGTTGGAAATGGTTTATTCTCCCCAGTTAATTCATCTGATTGTCACTTCAGCTGGTACAATTGCAAAGAGAATACTTAATTATATACTGTGTGATTAGTGGTCCACAATTAATTTAAATATGATTGAAATCAGTGTTTCAGAGAATCTTGTTCTCCAGATGTATAAAACTTGTTTGTTTGGTACAGATCCCAACAAATGTCACATCCTCACGATTTTAGTAGTTTTTTTCAGTGAAAATGAAAATTGTGACGCAAAAAAAGGATCATTCCCACTAATCTTAAATCACCGTCAATCTGGGGGAAAATGGCAACATGATTTCTTTTTACATGTGATTCACTCACATTGATGCCATCAAACTTGTTATTGTTTGGAGTTATTTTTTAGCATTTAAAGTGAAACTTTGAAGCAGAGTGGCTTTAAAATGTAATCTCCTAACCTGAGTAACGTACACAAATCCTACAAAAGCTGTGACACATGTAAAACATACATGTGTGAGATTCTGTTCCTACTGCCACCCAAAGCTCTTATTAGTATCCATTGTTGCTATTTTTCTTAATAAAGCAATGAGGAAGAAACTGCATGTTGAACTTGGGTAATGGAAGGACTAGGCTGTTGAGACAGACCAGATGTTTTCCTGTGGAATAAACTTGGAATGATCCAGCTTAAGCTTAGGTTATCAGCTCAGACTTTCTTACATCCTGTAGGATTATCTTACTGAAGGATTAATTCAGGTGAAATTCTAGGAATGGTTTCTGAATTCCAGCGTTACAATAGGGAAAATTTCCAGGTGCATTGGCTTCCCTAGCCTCTCCTTATGCATATTAAAATGCCTGCCACACCGGTCAAATGTAAGTTTTGTAAAAAGAAATTACTCGCGCGTTAAATCATTTGTCTTTATTACAGCTGTCCAAGGTTGTACCATACAAAGTAAAAACTATGTTGTACAGGACAGGACAGGGCAGGCAGTGGCTTGGAAAGATAAGTGTTTGCCTCGGGGTCAGGATTGAGTGTGAACCTGAACGTGGTCACCATGTAGGGCCTGTGTGTGTGTGTGTGTGTGTGTGTCAGGGGTACATTTCCTATGCTTTGCATCTTGGTTAACGCTCCTATACATTTCCCACAGCTACACATGTAACAATGTGAATGAATACGGGCTCTGCCTGGGGACAGGAAAGTAAAGGAAGAGGTTCTCTCTCCCTCTTTGTCTTTCTCTTTCTTGCCGTCATAAATCTGCCGGGCCTCCCAGTGTGAAGAGGTCACTGTCAGACCGTGAAAGACGACCAGAAAAGGGGCTTGTTTTGTCTTGTCCTGGTGTGTTTCTCTGATTTATCTCTGTATTGCTTTAGTCCTCTCTTCCTCTCTCATTAGTGGGCCTATAGGAGAAGGAGAATAAGGTGGGGGAGAGAAAGAGAGAGGG